TAATGCGTGATAGTTGACGAGGGCGCATAGAATAGAATGCTAGTAGATTTAAACTAAAAATCGACAGAAACACGGTACATGTTTTCTATTTCTTAAATAATGTGTAATAAAGAGGATGTTGCGAACAAACAACACACTGCAAAAACAATCAAACACATTCGGCAAAAGAGTTTTTACTCAAGGTCATTGAAACCTCTAAGACCTGATCTACACCGTTAAGTGAGAATGGCTGTGGAGTTGACGTTACTGGTGAGCTATTTTTGTTTCGACTGTTTCTATATATCTTAGTTAGCTGTATTCAATGTCTAAAATTCCTTCTCATTCATTTTAAAGTACGGCCTGATTTACGGCTGTAACTGAGAATGAGCAATCGAATTTTCTGAACTGTTTCTTCTTATTTCTCTTCCGACATTATCGGTTCAGTGTTTCATATCCTTGTTCCACTTCACCTTCTCGACTAACCCTGTTTTCTTCCTGTTCAGCAGTAGCTACAACTCTAACTTGTTTTGGTCCAAAAATATTCCTTTCAAGCTGCTCGGCTTCTGCAATAGTTTTCCTCGACAACAACTGAATGAAAGCTACACGGAAATATTTAATTCTAACAGCGTAAATCAGTGGATTAAACAACGAGTTCAGTACGGGAAATAAAGTAATAAGATTAAACAGGATATGTTTTACATTAAGAGCGATGCTGTCTTTCAAAAACGATATCATAATGACAACAATGATATTTGCCGGGAAATAACACAGAAAGACTGTGAGCAGAACAATAACTGTGCAGTAAAAAGCTTTCTTATTCTTGAGCAACTTCTCCTTAACTTCTGTGGAAACTTGATTAGCAATAATTTGTTTTTCGTTGCGCTGGACCTCTCTGTATACAGAAACGTTAAAATAAACAACTAACGCAAGACAGATAAACTGCATAACAAGAACTGCAAATCTTGCGCCTTTTGTTATATTTGCTGGCCAGAAGTTGTCCATCGGAAGGATGATCGCGGCAGCCCACGCCAGACCAGAGGCTACGATGATACGAACCTCAGTAACAAGGTTCTCGTATGCGAAAGAGTGTTTTATGGCGAGATAACGCTCTGCACTCAATACAACGAAATGATTAAACGACGTTATGACACACCTTAAGGTAATAGCTGCTGTTATCTTGTCAACCGTTCTGCAAATTATGTCAGTCTCACCTTTGAGCATAAAGCTGTAGTGAATGATTTGTAAAGGTTGAACAACAAGTCCGACAACAAGGTCAGTTGTGGCTAAACAGGCAAGTGATACGTTAGATTTGGTGCGAAGTCGACGGTTGGTTTTCACTGCCACCATCACCAAGATGTTCAGCAAAATGACGAAAGGAGAGCTTACAGCGTTAATGGCGATTCTGAAGATGAATACAGCGCGAAGCTCATGGGAAAGTCTCTCGGGAATCGGCAAACCTAGATATGAGTCTGAACCACAACTTAATGATGTAGTGCTGATTGTAGTGTTATTCATGTTTTCTGTTTGTCGTGTTTTTCGCTTGGTCGTGTTGGTCTGCGAAATAAGAAGCCTTCGAGTGGACAGTTTGACAGCTAATTTGTTTGTGTTTCAACGAAATACTTTATCGACTAGAATTTGCATATGTATGCCAATGATGAGCAAGCTATTGTTTGACCTTTTGAAGTTAGGTATCAACGTCAAATTCAAGTATTAATTGCTTCCAAAAGCCGGAATTCTACTTGAATATGTGGCTGCACCCATCAATTTGACAACGAAGCTTTTCACGGTAATCGTATGTTAAGTATCCTGACGTAAGAGCTAAGGCCCTCAGTGAATTTGGAGTTAGTAAAAGCACATGACTTACTTGTAGCATCCGTCTATAGTTTACGCACGAAATTAACAACGTTTCCTCTCATTCTCTCGGACGATAGTTTATTAACTAGCCACAAGTGAATGCTGAAGCATTCAGTTTTTATCATGAAAGTTAAATTGGTCCCTTATGCTTCCTTCCCGTAAAGACAATTAGGTTAATCCGCAAAGATTTACAACTGCAATTGCCTATTATCATCGTCTATGCACCAAGCTAAAGGGTCTACAACACAAACAATGCATCTCACAACATACAATACGAACGAAAAGCAGTCCAGTCAAGAGAGCACCTGGAATTCCAATCAACACAACGAAGCCTCTAAAATTAAAAATAGAGAATTAAAATTAACATTCACATCTTGAAATTAAGATGGAGCAAACTCAGGGACTCGAAAACAAGATACTTAATTTAAATTTCCACTTATTCCCAAAATTGCGGTGGCAATGTTTGAGTAGTGCCAGCCAGGAAGATTAATAATACTTGAATAGAACCAATAAACCTTCATTAAGTAAACTTGTTCAGCTGGCTACCTTCTGTGCAAACCAATATACGAAAAGGGAAACTTTACTTATGAAAGGTAAACTCAAAAGGCCAAAATAACGAATCACTTGTCTACCGAATGGACGCTAGTGATGAAGAGGTTACACACAGACACCGGTGTAAAAGAATCGCCAATGCCCAAAATAGAATAACTTAACTCGTGGTTGTAAACTGAAAAAGATACTACTATTGGTTTCCCGATCTTATCTCGCAAGTTACTTTATTATTATTATTATTATTATTATTATTATTATTATTATTATTA